TTGGTAGAGTACGATGTTTAGACAAACACCACCATCCTCCCCCATTAACCTGTCTGTTCTTTGTTCAGCATAAAAGTAGAATTCCTTGGTGGGGCGGTGGGGGGGGGAGGACAGAAATCATTACAGTTCAGATATTTTTAGTTTATCTCTAGATGCCTCCCAGATTGTGCTGAACTTCTAACCTGAGCTTAAAATTGCTTTGTCATTTTATATATTGAATTATGAGGGTGAATGCACACTTTCTCAAGCCATCTCCATTGTGGCTGCCCTAGGCTCCAGCAGTTGGGTGTAGTAGTGTTTATCAGAAGTAAATGGATGCATTCCTTTGATTAGCTTCATTTGAGGGGTTCCTGATATTTAACGATGCTGTGGGTTGTTTGACTCCTCTCCCTTCCACTAGCAAAGAGATTTCCGCTGCCATTATCAGCCACACTAACTTTTCAGCACAATTCAGCATTTCTCGTGTGCAAAGTCCACAGCTGTAGTTGAACAATGTGGTCGTTGTAATCCAATAATGAGTCCTAAATATAACAATAATTATAACCTCTTACATTGAGAACAATATTGATAATCAGGGATACTAATCCTTGAATTTCATAGAAATAGAGCTCAGCACTGGTTGTTGCAGTGTTATCCACGTTTTAAGATTTCAAATGCTTTGCAAAACTTGTATGTGCTTGTGTAAAGATTTGGCTTTGCTATACAGATGGGCATAATGGAAACAAAAAGCACCCAGAGAAATATGAATGATTACATTTATCAACAGCTAAACAGAACACTTTGCATATTATTCTTGTAATTAACAAGTCTGACTTGCCATCATAGACTACTTATAATCAGGGCTTAACAGCAAGGACTGATTTTATTGAAAATTTGTCCTATTAGACACTGCACCCAGTTCGGTCTTGTGTATCTTTAAATCATGCTTGTAGTTAGTCTATACGTACACTTTCTGTCTCTCCTCCTCCTTTTTTTAATTTTGTTTTCTTTTTTCAAGAAAACCCTTTTAAAAGTTGGTCAGTGTGAAAGTCTTTGTAAAATAGAGCTGTTGAGCCATGTATGATTCACTTAGTCTTAATGTTTCTGCAATTTTCAGATGAACAAAATTGCCATTTATTTCCAACACGGTCATATAATGAATATATCCAGGTCTCATAGGAGTTCACTGTCATGAAAAGAGAGTGTATCTGTAGGCACGGAAACAGCAGACACTTCAGAGTTAGACTCCTCGAACAGGATTTGATTTTTAATTACAGAATTAGTAGTGACCCGGGACAGTACTTCTTTCACCCCAAACTTCTGTTTCAATCCACCACTGTAGCAAATACACTTTTTGACTCCCAGGTTTTCGCCTGGCATAATGCCATCTCCTTGTTCGCTGGTGACTTTTCCTTTGACCGACCACAGGCCCTTCTCCTGGCAAGGACCTTAAAAAGAACAGAGCAACATGCAAGGTCTAAAATACACTTCTATTTCAATTCCTCATTTTGCGCATCTCTTCAGGAGCCCAGTGTGACACCTTCATTATTTACCTCACTGCTGTACACAGTACCTCTGGTCTAGTAGCCATTTATAACACCTTCAGGAGAGGCTGAATTTGGATTACATTGCTGCTTCTCACGTTCACATCTTCTATCTTTTGAGTTCTTCATTCTACAAACTTAACACGCTTTTCTGGAGTTAGTAGTATATAGCCAGTGGATATAAAGTGGGGTTTTTTATGTATTGTGTTTCTCTTTCATTGTCTAAAAATGTAGTTTTTAGTTAGCAGTACCTTTCAGCTAATGTTTTGACTATGAACAGCTGAAGATTCCTAGGAAAAAATACATCTACCCTAAACTGCACACGGAAAACACGTAATCTTATACTATATTCTATGAATATGCATGTTATGCTTGAAGGAATAATTATTTGGATCTTCTCAGTCATTTTTAATGTTTGTTTTTAATGCTTTTGGAATTTTCTTTGACTCAGATATATACAGAGAGAGAGGAAGAGGGAGTGAGAGGACAAACACGTTTTGCGGTTAGAGGGCTTTTGCCTGAAATTGCAGATAACCAGTGCACAAAGTGATTGTCCTGCTCTTTTGCAAATGCTGCTGTAATCCAGGCATTTGGCAAATCTTTTTTTCATTAATCCTGTACCCATTCATAAATCCGGGGCCTGCAATTAATTTTTTTCCCCCCAGTTTTAAATATATTGTAATTTTTTCCCAATCTGTAATGAAAGCTGCTTCTGGTGTTTCTTTTGCCACCCTACCTGCAGTGCTCCTCTGGGATGGGGCATTACTTTTTTGTGGCCTTCCTGTCCACAGTAGGCATTTGCCATCTACTGCACTTAAAACATTCTGTTTTCTGCTTCATCTTCTGGCACTGATAACTGTGACATCTGTTTGTCACATATGAAGCCCAGGAGGTGCTGAAGACCCCGAAGCAGTCAGCATCCTTTACGTGAGCATCCCTTACGTGGGCAGAGGAGAATTATCTTTGCCTCTCAGGTGGGGAAGCAGCTAGCTTGGCTTGCTTGATGTTTCTGTGGTGACATCCAGACTGAGGGACGTGGAGAGTTTCCAAATGCCCATCTCCCACGTACAGATTATGATGAAACCTGGCCTTTCCTAGTCTTTCCCCTCTCATTCTCCTAGGGAGGAAACATGAGTGTGTACCCCAAACGAGAGCTGCTGTGGCGGGGACAATTGCCCGCTCCAAGTTGCCTGCGGTGTCTGTGCCCAGGAGCAGCTCTCTGGTTGAGGTGGAAGGAAGACAGAAGTTTCCTGGCTGCTTGTCTTGCTCTTTGACATAAGGAAAGCTTGTATTTTTGTATAATTAAAGCGAATAGGCTAGTAGCCTACCAGCTCTGGATTAATAAAGCCTAGATGCAAATGCATAAGTCATAGCACAATGTTTTAACTTATCAGGAACTCAGTTGAACATTTATGTTTGAAACATATGTAGACTCGTGCAGTTTCAAAAGTGGTCAGTCCTTAAGAATAGTTGGCTTAAATTTAATGCATATTTAATGGTGGGCAGGGAGAAAACAACCGTGATTTTTTTCTGAACATTTAATGTTTTAGTGGTCCCTTGCTAATTTAGGTAAAAATGTTGCAAATGATAGTTTACAATCTGAAAAGGCATCGGATAGTGCTACATAAATGCCCAGCTGATATTAAACTCTAGTTTAAATTTTTTTTTAATGACTTGTTAAATTCTGTGCTACATTACATTACTTGAATTTGTACTTGTTAAGGTATAAAACTGATGGAGTTCAGGTAGGGCATACTCTTTCTGTTCAAATTGAAAGATGAGTTAGTTTGTGTTATATTAAAAGAAAAAGAAAACCCCCAAACCTGTCATGTGTTTTTTAAGAAAGCTGTGTGTCTTTCCCTCCCGTGCAAAATTACTCTGTGTATTGTCTGTATGTTACTGCTTTTCAGTAAATGCTGGGTTTACAGAACAGGGACTTGCCAAGGGAAGCTGTCAGTTTACAGCCTCATTCTGATTTACCAGAGGAGCATAAAAATATACTCCCTTGTCAAAGTTTCAGGTATGATAGTTAAACCTGTAATGTTAATTATCTTTCCCTTAACCTTATCTTTAACAGAAAAGAAGGCTGATAAGGACACAAGCTCTGTTACTTTCACTGTAGTTTTCCAGTCTTAAGGAAGAATTCTTTTGCCACCAATTTGGGGAAGAATATTCTACCTAGTTGCCACTATTTTTAGAACTGTATCTTCTCATGTATATTTGAGCAGCTGATTACAAATTTTAGTTCACATCTACCCATAGAAAAAGTCTATTTTAATACTTTTTAGTCTCTTAGAGCCGGGAGGAAAGACTGAACTGCTTGCAGAGAAGGAGCAGACTGTGTGATCAGAACCTGAGTATATATTTCACGGAGAGGGTCATTTGACTTTGAATTACCACAGATATGCATAACCTGTTCTGACACTGAATTACAGGGTGGTTTGTCAGTTTGCTTGTTTCAAAAGATAACCTGCTACACACGTCAAAATAAGATAATACCTCAGAGAGATCATGAAGTGTGCAGTTGTGTTATTAGGAGATTGCAAGCATGGAAGATTTCCCTGGGGGGTAGCACTGCATCTTGCAATCTTATTCCAGAAAATCATATGAGTAAAACAATGAAATTAAACATTTCTTGATCAGTTGCTACTATGCTGTTGTAATAAAAGGAATTCATTGTATAGAAATCTGCCCAATTTTGCATCAGTGAGCCATTAAAAATTGTTAATGATTTGATGAACTCTGACTTGGCCCACACAAGGTAAAACTCAATGACAGAGTAGGGGAAAAAAACAGCTCCAGTATGTTCTACCCGCAAGAGAAACTTTTCTAGAGAAGTTTTTTTTAATGTTTAAAGCACTGACTCTTCTGAGCACTTTCTTTTGGAGGAGCTTTCTTTACTTTTGCTATTGTTTTTTATTTGTTTAGTCCCACAGATGAGGTAGAGCTTGCTTATTGCTCATTACCTGGCCCCAATCAAACTGGCCAGGTAATGAGTGTATAGTCGGATCTGGACAGCATTGCCAGACTCCGTGGTTGATAAGCTCAGGTGGAAAGCATGTGGGGCGGGGAGTGCTTCTTGAGTAGTTAGCATCCTTGGAGGTCTGTGTTATTTCTGGAGCACAAGACAAAGAATCTTTCAAGAAAAAAGAAAAAAAAGTTACATTATACAGTGTTTCCTTTAAAGAATAGGTCTAAAAGGAAGAGGAGTACCATCATACAGTTTTACTTTAAACTCTCTTATTATTGGAACATCTGTGCCTTTACATATACTCAAAAAATCTTGGGTTATTTTGGGCGAGGAGCAGAGCTGTTGAATATGAGACTGTTACTTGTGTATTGACATCACAAAACCTGTTTGATGTACTGTGGGGCCCTATGCATCCAGAATGTAATAACGAACCTGATTTTTGGACAGAGGCCACCGTTCTTGAAATATCCAGGACTGCTAGATGCTTGGCAACCTTAATTGCACCCATGGCCGGTGCCATCAAACTGAGTTATTTGCTGCGATTCCTGTAGTACGTGGGTTGTGTGACATCTTCTGATATGAGGGCATCTGGGGGTAGGAGCGGAGCAGACCTTGACAGCCAGATAAATTTCTTACTACATTGAGGTTGGGTGGATGCTGGACTTGCAGGAATATCGTAAAAGACAGAGTGCTCTTAAGAAAGCTGTGCTATCCCCGTTAGCTTCCCAGGGAGTCTCCAGGGACCCCAGGCACGTGATGTTTTGTGGTGCATCGTGTCCTGTCCCGAACTAAATGGCATTATCGGCCAGGAACGCCCATTCCCTGCAGCTCCCCTCCTGTTGATCTGAACGCAGCGGTGGCTGGCCAGCTGCTGGCAAACAGGGCTGTCTGCTGTGGCTCTGGGGACAAAAGGTGTGGGTGAGGAACGCTGGCGGCCTTTTTGTATTATTATTATTATTTCCTATCTGTGCACAGTTCTGATTACAAAAAGAATTGCTGCTCTTTAATTAAGAAATAGAATGACAGAAATAAATTACTTTAAAAGGATGTTCTTTTTAGGAATGAGGGGAAGTAATTGGGGCCAGCTAATATGAAAATGTCATGCAATCTACGGTTAAATTGTTTTGTTCTTTCCTGGCTGTAGTTTTTACAAAATTGGTGAGTCAAGCAATTGTCAGTAATATTTTTGTTGTCTTAAATTTTTTTCTTACCCTATATGAACTACATGCATCTGTCTAGATTACATCTGAATGACAAAAATACATAGATAGCAGCAGGAGGAAGAGTAATGGCTTTATTTAGAATTAACTGTCAGTAAGTGTTTATTAAGTGCATCTGTCATGTCTTATTCTGGATTTGTGTTGCTAGTCTCTTAGCTGGGAATTCATTTTTTGATACCTGATGACGCTGAATATTTTAATGTTATTATTCTCATTCAGCAGTCTATGTAAGCAGTGTGGGACTTAAGTTCAGGAATATCAGAAGTACTTACTGCCTTCTTTTTTAGTCATTTAGCAAAAGCACATCTATGGACTATTTCTAATACATTTTTAGATGAAATGTTTTATGTATTGTCAAGAATATTCAATTTCTTTCAAAAAAATAAATGCCACATACATGGGACTGTGCTTGTAAAACAGTTCATGAAATTAATATATCAGATGGAAAACTTGGGCTAAGAAGGGCTTTGGGAGAAAATATGTACAAATATGGATAAATCAAGAAGGCTCACGTCAGACAATTCAAGATAATGGTATCTTGTGTGCGTGTGTGAACAAGTAAAGTGGATTCAAGAAGATTTCAGGAAAATTATTTCCTTTTGCAACCTAAATTTAAATGTCTAAATGAGTTCTTATAGCACTGGGACTTGGTAAATGGCCCTACTTTCAGGTGTCAGACAGAGAAGAATACCTGTTTTTTATTGCTACTTGTCTGTTTGCTAATAATGATGAGCATTGATTTTTATTGCTTGTCTGTTTGCTAATAATTGTCTGTTTGCTAATAATGATGAGCATTGCCTACCATGTAAGAGAGAGATGGCAGCATTTGGATTAATTGAGGGCTCCCATTGAAATGCCTTGGGAATATGCAGGACTCGTGCTCTTTCACATGTTCTGAAGCAATAGTGTCTAAGAAAGAGAGAAATTAAGATCTTCCCCTTGTACATCACACAGACTATGCATGTATTGTGTTGTTTTACAGTGAAACATTACTTTTGATTAACAAGCAGTTCTAAGGCCAAAGGCAGAGTATTCATTATTTAAATACAAAAGGAAAAAATATAAAAAATACAGTGGGGCACCCCACAAAGCAGCAAGCTGTGTTGTTTTGACCTTAGTGAGTGTTCCTGTATTCTTTTCCGTGCATATGTGTGGCAAGCAAGTCATTTTATGGATCAGTCTTGGTCGTTCTGATAATTCAGTTTCCCCTAATGTAGGGGAATTAAACTTAGGAGAATAAAAGCTTTAGTAGATCATTGCTCTTACTGAAAGTTTAACCATTTGTATTTTCTTTGTTGGAGAATTAAGGAACAATTTTTAGCTCCTCACAAGCTGGTCAAGCACATCTGAGAACCAGGCTGTGTGGCAAGATGTGATACATGATCAGTCCTGGATCACCATTTTTGTTCTCTGTTAATATACTGTAATAGGGTATATGACTGATTTGAGCAACTATTTGTTTAGAAAGGGAAATGAATGGAAGGCATAGCTCCAAATGCTTGATTAACCTAGACCTTTAAGTGGCTTTGTTTTGGAGGCAGGAAATCAGGCAGCAGGCTCTGGAAGGACGTGGTTGGAGGCTGCTGGAACTGGGGACCTGCTCCTGTGCCTTGGGCCTGGAGTATTTGATTTACAGAGTGTTTCCGTGTGGTTCAGTTTTGGTGTGTGAATTCTAGAAGGCATGTGAAGATTGTGCTGGTGTGTTGTAGCAGGGACAGAGCGTTGGTGAAGCTTGCCCAAGGGCCAAGCCAGGAACGGCAGGCTGGCTTGGCTCTGGGGCATCCCTGCTTGCAGTACCAACATGTTCTTCATGTGAGTCTCTTTGGAGGTGTGGTTGCACCCTAAAAGGGGTGAATGAGAACCAAAAATGCAACAAAACCAGTTTCAGAGAAGCTTTATGCTGTAAGCTGGGGCCCTTATGAGATGGCTGGGGCTCAGCAGTCAGATCAATTTTTTTTTTTTTTCCTCCTCCATGTACCTTCAGATTTTTCAGACATTTTGATTAGCAAGTAAAAATGTTCTCACTTCCTTGCAACCTAACGAGCAGGTGTCTTTTCAACATTAGGGATTGTTTGAAGACAACCATCAGACAGGTGGTATCTCTCAAGAAGCAGCTAAATTAATACATTCAGATTTTTGTCAAATCCTGCTACTTGGTAGCAGTCATATTGATCCATCAGAAGGTATTCAAACACAAATTTTAGATGGACCACCAAATACCCGAGAGTCTACCTTATCCCCTTGGCACAGGGATGCACACGCTGCAGAGCTTCCCCGTACTAGTCTGGCCCTCTTAGGCAAAGATTGATGGAGAAGAGGTGCATGATGGATTATCTCACGTTCTGCAGTGCCCTGTGCTCCAGGCAAAAATGTGTAGTCAGGTACATGTCATTAGACTGATAATCAAACTGAATAGCTAGAATCGGGGTGGCCCCCAAAGCAGGACCTGGTCCTGTACAACCCTGCACTCATCCATGTCCTGAGCAAATGTGTTGCATGCACTTCTAGGATCGTTTTTGGCACAACGGGCCTGTTTCTGCTCCCTGATTACTCTGTTCTGGAGAGCGCACGCAGGTCTTTATTTTAGTGGCTTTTCATGCTCAGTAGGCATTTGTGTGCCGTGAGTGACTCCGTACAGTTTCTGAACTGAGGTACGTTGAGCTGGATCTGCTGCTGCATTTGGGGTCCAGTCTACGCATTTGCAGTGCTACCACATTTCCTGTTCTCTAGAGCTCTTTGCAGCTTGTTTTAAGGGCTGGCATGATCTGTGAACTTTCAGGTGGCTCAGCAGCGTATGAACGGTCTTAGAGTAGGAGAGACGCTATGATGTGGCACTGCCGTTTTGTGTGTCACTGCGTGGGGTGCTGTAGCCAAGTGTCCCATGAAGAGATGGGTTCCTAGCTGAGGCCATCTCCAGCAGCGCCTCCTCGTCATGTGACCTACCGTGGCAGAGGTACTCTGGTAGTGAGGTTAAGAGGCACTGATAGCTAGTCCCTCCTGGATGTATGGCGTTAAGCATATTCACACTCTCATTATTCCCTTAGAATTTGTCTCTGGCACAAATGCTTTCCCTTGTTTCTAGTCTCTTACAGTGCTGTAATAATTAACAGCATCTGTTGATATGCTGCACCCAGAGAAGGATGCAAGTCTTCCTCTCTTCCATTGTTCCCCCTTCTCCTCTCCCCTCCCAGACGTAATGGAGCCATTGCTAACATACCTGTTATTAGGGGCTGCCAGATAGGCATCATAGCGCAGTATACTACAAGAATTCAGGGCTCTGTTTGGGATTCGGGCGAGGTTGGTATCGTCCACAGGTGGAAAAGCCATGGCTGCCATAGTTCTCCAAATCTTAAGATTTCTGGGTAGCATTAAATTTTTTGTAATGTTGAAATACTTCTCTTAAAGATAGGGCAAGTATCCTCTGTTGGCTTGATTTTTGGTTCCAGCCCATTTTTACTTCCTATGGCAGTACAAAACGTTGCTAACTTTTGTATTCCCTTCTTCCGTCCTGTTTCTGCAGGTCTTGATGATTGCCTGCAGCAATATATAAAGAACTTTGAGAGAGAGAAGATTAGTGGTGACCAGCTACTACGCATTACTCATCAAGAACTGGAAGATCTTGGAGTCACACGAATTGGTCATCAGGAGCTTATCTTAGAAGCAGTAGACTTGCTCTGCGCACTGGTAAACTTCTTGGGGCAAAACGGGGGGGGAGTGAAGAGTGTTTGCATATTCACAGTTTGTGTATTCAAATTTCTAGTCCTAAAGACTACCTAAGTAGTTCAAGAAACTCCTGATATGTAATGTATGAACAATTTAGCATTTTAAACCAGAGGCAAGATAAAGAGCAATATCTACTGATAGGATGGTGCTTGTTAAATAAATTGGTATCAGAGATTTAAGGCTTGCATATCTGTCTTTATAGAAGAAAAGTATAGCTGAAATCACAAGAGACTGGGTTTGGTTTGGAATGTAAAACAATTATATATGTACATGCAGTAACTGAGTGCCGGTTGCCCTTTACAAACAAAATGTCCTGATATTAACGATGTCATTTTTCACTGATGCTTTCATGCAAATTATATTTTAGATGATTATTTGAGCTTGCTGAAACATAGCTGCTTGTATTCACAGTAGAAAGGATTAAATACTGAAATAATTATCTTATGTGTAAATAATACATACATCTTTGATGGAGCATACAGAGGGATTTTGGTAATGGTCTTTTCAGTCAGGTTGTGTCATGCATAACTGAGATTATCCCCTCGGTGAGGGGTGTGGTGCTGACTTCACCCTTCTTACAAACTTTTTGTGTGTGCCTGTAAAGATTAGTGGTAGATTGGGCACACTGTCTGCATTCTCCACTGTAGGAAGGATTGTGAACAGCTCTGCTAAGCTGTACTTGACTGTCTAAAGTGGTGTTTTGTGGATTTTTAATGCATACTATTTTTCCGAGCCTCAGAAGCAGCTTTAAGAAAGCTGAATCCCAGTAGAGGCAATCAAAGATGGTAGGCTGAAAGGCTCTTCAGAAGGGCTTGTGGATTCTCAGTATGCAGCAGCTTTTCTGAATATCCTGTTGTTGCATCTTTGGGAGATAGATGTGAGGGGTAATGAAGAGAAGAGAGCGGAAAAAAAAAGGCAAAAAAGAAAGTAAAAAAGGGGAAAAAAGCTTTTCCGTAAAGGAAGACATTTGCTTTTAAACACATCTTGGATTCTCTTCTTTAGAGTAGTATTTCTAATAACGTTGCAAAGTGGCTCAGTGCAATAAGTTAACTCATCTATTTGTTTTTTAAATAATGGAAAGGATGCAATCCTAAAAAAAAATAATGCTACTGATATAGAAGGGAACATAAAGAGAGTTATTCACAAAGTACTTTTCTCATCAGACAGTGCAAAAGGAAACAAGAAAGTAAATACTTTAATTAACTGAGACAAAATCTAAGTTAGGGTGAACACCGATGACCATTCTTCCCAGGCACACAGGGAGACAGACTGTGGCTTTTTCAAAAATAACCTATTTTCACAGACAAAAACTTGTTTATTAGCTGAAATTTATTTTTTTCCCAGGTATTTAATTACAGATCTTATCTTTAGACAAACAAACTCAACTTGTCTTTGTAGCTCCCTTATCTTAGGCAAAAGTGTATGGAACTAAGTTGAATATAAAATAAGGAATTTGTAGTGAAGGCTAACACTGCATCCTTAATTCATGCAGCAAGTCTCTACCTTCCTGGTCCTTGTTGCACATAGAGTGTTGTCTGCTTTTCTGAGTTCATCGTAAAGAAAACTTCTTCACTGAAACACAATAGCATGCGTTCAGATCACAGCTTCTAATTTAAGCTGAGGTTTTTGCAGTCTTGCAATTGGCTCCTGATAGCTCCTCAGGGATACAAAATGTGATTGTTATATTGATTTTAGTGAACTTAATTTCAATTTATTGTTCACCTGTCAGATAAACCTCTTAGGAAATTGAATTCAGAGACAATCCTTTTGGCTCTACTGGTCCTATACTTACAGTCTTTCCTTGTTTTATTGCATCAGTAAGTATCTGTCCTGGTTAGTGCTTGCGCATTCTTCTGATTAGCCTCTAATGTTGACTGTATTGTTTAGGAGAACTTTAAGCCTATGACTCTCCAACATAAGATAACTGCTAGTGCAGGTAGTCACTGTGCAAGGTTTTTTTAATGAAAATGATCTGATTATTTTTTGTGTTTCACTGGAGTTTCACAGAGGTTTCATGATAGAATTTGGCATGAGTTACAAGTGTATGGTCCAACTGAGTTAAGGTCTATTTGGATGCTGGAGATGATGGGTGGCATGATGGGGTAGGAATAGTAATGTTAGTTTTGCCTTGCAAGCATAATCTCTGATTGATTTTAAACTGATCATTAAAAACCAAAAGGATTGTCACTTCTGATTCTCCTCCCCATTCTCTCCGAGCTAGTGAGTGACCACCTAAACAGGTTTTGGCATTGAGGACAATTGAAGGGGACAGAACCACTGCCCACTGTTCATTTCTGCTCCCACTCTGCAGGGGACAGTTTCCAAGACAGAGTTGCCATCAATGAGGAAAGCTTCTGCAATGTTGATAGCCGTTGTGTTTTAAGAGCTGCTTTCTTCCTGCCCTGCTTCCCAGCGTTTTTTTGGGGTAAACTTCTACTCGTAGTTTCTGCCCTGTCAGCTATGCATATGGCAAATGGCAAACCAGCTGCTTGTGTAGCATGCCTGTAGTTCACAGGGCAACATTTTCTTCCTGGGGGAAAGCGGAGAGCCTGAACAAGCATATTTGGCTGGTATGGAGAGAGCATGGGACCTCCTTAACCCAGGCGGAGGCTATTGAACAGCGCTAAATAGACAAACTGCTTGCTGCAATAATAGTTGGGAACCAGTTATGATTGATAGCACTATTTAAAGGATGTTCTTTATTGATTTTTGGCAGAAGGTGGGTGGGTGGCTATGGTCTCTCACAGTATTCCCCTCCTGTCATAAGCACTTGCAACAAATGGATTCTCCAGTGTCCGTTAGCTGACCAGAGAACAAACGGTGGCCTGTGCTATCCATCTTAGTAGAGTCTCTCTTGGCTGCCAGCCTGCCATACTGTGCTCTTGACAGGAGAGTAAGAGTCCTAGGGGTGAGATTCACAGGTTTTCTTTTCCTGTAGTGCTTCAGAGAAGGAGGAATAAAGATTTTGCCCAGCTGCTACTGCTGTTATAGGTCACGCTCACTGATAATGGTGGGGGTGTACATACCGCATACCATCACTGAAGCTGAACGTGCTCCAGGAGAGAGCGGGCAATGTAACTGATGTGGTTTGTCTCTTCCCTCTCTCCTTCAGCCCGTGAAGGTGGGAGCATGTTCAATAGATTATCTTGCCTCGGTGCAGTTTTGTGTTTTATAAAATCCGTACGTCAGAAAGGGCAAGATACATGAAATGTTCTCTGTGCTTAAAAGAAAGAAGTAGTGAGGTCTGTGATGGTATTTCTTTGCTGCTAAGAGTTTGTTGCATGGTTTTCGATCAGTCCTTGAGAAACCACCATGACGGATATATAGACTTGTTCTATTTCCAGCAAGGCACGTCTCTTGTCCTTCCCTTTCTGTTCAAACTGGGACATGGAACTGAGATCACACTGGTGGCATCAACAGGTAGATTCCTGCTTGATGTGGACGCGCATGTTTATTCATACTGACAAAATCTCAAAAAATAATTGACATCTCAAAACTGGTTGAAAAATGGTAAACAAGGAAATTGCATGTCTGGCTCTAGAGATACAGGAGAAACTGTACTGAGTTAGGTACCATGGTATTTTTTCTCCAGGCTACTCCCATGTAATAAAACATACACTTGTTCATCAGTTATAAAAATTACCACCCAGATCTAGCCTCAACGTGATCTTTGTCAGTATGTGTGTGGCGGTGAAGCTAGTCTAAGACTGCTTTACATTTCATCAGTAAACAAACAACAGTGTAGCAGACCTTCATTCACACATAAAATGTGACGAGTCTTGTTTCTTTGATGGTTGCTTTAAGAACTGGATGTGAATGAACAATGTCAACAGACAGTAAATTGAGGAAAGATGGAGGTGATGCTTATGAAAAGAGAAATGCATACTGAAGAACAGATTACTTAGATAATGCCATCAGATCACTGTATCAGTCTTCAGGTTTAGAGTGCGTCTGGAGGTCTTGTGGCTCCTGGAATACCTAACTGTGCTGCAGAAAGCAAAGAAATGCACGTGATTCTTTTTCCATCATCTGTTTGTTAGGAGATGGAGTTTCACTTATCAAAACCGGGTATGACCATATTTTGCTGAGTGTCCATGGACTCTAAATTTTATGTCTCCTTGGTATCATATTTTTCCCGGAAAACGCTACCCTTTGCCCCGCTGTCTGGAGAATACAAAGACTGAAGACTGCACAGCCAAAGATTTCTTCTTCCATCTTTAAGAAAATGATCTAGTTTGCCTGACATATCACCACAATGCCTTGATGCATGAGGATTTTTTGTTTGCTCTACTTCTCCAAAATATCATGTACATTTTGTTTGAATGAAGATTAAATTAGTTTCATTTGATTTTTGAACATTTTCAAATATTTTTTAAAAGGAGACCTTAAAGCGGGAAATATTTTGTTCTGGGAAGATAAGAATATTTAGGAAACTTCACAAATAACTTTTGGATGCTTTAAAGTTTTCCTTAACCAAAGAACTTAGTAAAGTCCCAGTGAATTTGTAAAATACTTCTTCAGGGAATCTGCATTTGTGTAGAATAGAGATTGGTTAAAAAACAAAACACAACAGTTTTTGCTTTGTACAGCATACTGGTTTCAGTACTGGTTTCAAGCTAGTTATTTAAATCTGCTATGGCTGCACAGGAATTTATTATACACTGTATATTTGAATCTGTAAAGCTAGAAGATGGCAGCAGATGAAATAGCATTATTATTTGGCAGAGAAAACATTGGTGTGCACTAACAGCATGAAATTACTTATCATTTATCACTAACACAAAACATTTATATGCAAATTAATGTAAAAAATAGACCTACTTTACCCATGAATGATTCAATTCCTGTAAGAATTATACCTTTTATCTTAATTTCATCATCTTGCCGTTTCAGACACAGAAATCCTTTCCTTTGCCCTTCTCGCTAGCCAGATCTTAAAACTACTTTTGTCAGTAATAGTG